ATAAATTGGTACGTGAAAGATAAAAGTGGCCACAAACACCCAGGAATTTATTTGACTGACCGCTGTGGTATAAAATAGATCCTGTATTGATCAAGGATGGACACTTGCTAACCAAACAAAGCCGTCCAGTACTGTGGCCTCTTTGAGGCTGACCAGAGACCAGTGTTCTGCTGGGGTCACTCCTCTGGCTGACCGTCTGACCCCCTTTTTGTAGTGACCACTGATATGGGTCAAACTGTCCAGCCTGATCTGAGGGCTACAGTCTAGAAAAACAAATTTCATCCCCACGTAAATTCATCACCACTTCCTCTAAAACCATTCATCCATATTTTAATTGTTTTCAATTGCCTTTCTCATAAAGCTATAAGTGTTCGGCACAGACCGTAGTTAGAGACTCATTATTTTGCAATTGTCAGCAATTTTCCTCATTACTGCCACAGTCACAGTAGACCTTTTGGAGAAGGCTGATGGATTGACAATGTGCCATCCAACTGGGCCAAGGACAACTATGATTGGTTGTTTTCCCCCATGCCAAATTAGGTCACCCCATGTGGCCATCATCTAGATCTGGCTTTTAAATCCTTCAGAGGGACTGTGGAGGGGATTAGGTCCAATTTGCACAGTGGCTTACAGGGGAGGGGTAGTCTGGGTAAATCTGACAGGTGATGGACAGGCGGGGAGATTTCAGGATCATGTCAGTTCCACTGGAGGAGATGGAATCATTTTACATTCCTTGACGTAACGTTTGTAGTCAACCTACCGTGTGTTGTGTCATGTTTGAAAAGCTGTTTTTCAATAGCCTGGGTACCATCCTACTTGTATGCCGGGGCTCCCACACTCGCTTCCCTTACTTCTTAGGGAAGCGAGTGTGGGAGCCCCGGCATACAAGTAGGATGGTACCCAGGCTAGTTTTTCAACAGCAATATTGGAACAAAAAAATTTGGAACTATTAAACATCTCAAAATGTTTTTGAACCTCTGTAGCATCTGTTCATTGCTACTAAACATTGTAGTGTGTATGCCAAATGGTGCAAGGAAAATTTTCTATCACTGTGGAAAATGGCCGTAAAAATTCAGCTTTTAGTATCTTATATAATGCAGGAGTACGGGCATTATAACATAAACTAAGTCAGTTTAACTCTGCCATCTACGATTATATGCTTAAAATTGGGGCCTGAAAATTAACTAGTGGGGAAACTGATTTCTACTGCTAAAGATTATTCAGGTTTTCTTTTCATGAATTTTGAGTTTGACCATGAGTCCAATTGTTGCCCTTTTCTGACCATGAGTCTGAAATCGCCTGCAGAGTGCTCTAACTCTAAGTCTTACCCAAATATTTTACTAATACATGAATACCTCCTCCCCTCCCCCACAAATGCCTCACAATTTTTTATGTGGGTTGCATTCACAAACAAGCCGGAAAATAGGTCACTTTCCTAGAACCCTGTTGCTACCCGCGGAATCCATATTTGATCTTTGATATTCTAAATTCCCAAGGTGCCAGCCCCAACTTGGATGTCCTAGGTCAAAAGTTGATGCACCAAAGGTCAATCTTTACCAGTCAATCTAGCTTCTTTAATCTCTTTAGAGACTAGAAAACAGGAAGATTAACTCTTCCCAAAAGAAACGTACAGAAAAATAATAAGATTATTGGAGTTCTGGGTATTTGTTAATGCTTCGGGTTGTATATGTTTGCTCATCCGTCAACTGTCTGCCATATCTCAACTCCTCATCCCCACATTTATGTATCTAGGACAAGGCCAAATAGCTTTACAGGCGAAGCAATCCGACTGGTCCCAGGTCCAGACTGACTCAGGCAGGCTCAGCTATAATCACTGCAAATGGAAAGGGATCAGCTCCAACTGTAGCCTGTTTTTCTCGGGAAGCTTGGTATTAATCTGATGTGCATTTTCTAGGTCAACGTTCGCAAGATAGATGGAAACTTAGCAAGGAGGTTTTCCTGAGTTTTGTCTGTTGCTTAGAATATTGAGTGTTATATCATATCTATTAACTCTGGGTTGTCAAACATAGCATACAATATGCTGATAGGCTTGTAGGTTTGCTTTCCTGCGATATACTTGGGAGTTCTGGCTTTTTTTAACTAAGACCTTAACTTACCTGCCTAAATACATATAGCACCTGTAATTGATTCAGACAATAGAAGGTAAAATAGTATCCAGTATCCAGAAGAGAATGGGTGAAATTAAGAAAATTGCTGTCAAAAATGTAGAATATAAAGAAACAGTCACCGTGTTGAATCATTTTCATCCAGTGGAGAAAACCTTTTGTAGCTTTTGGTGATGGGGACAGGGATATGATTTTGATTCGCCCAGTCTGCCTGGAAGCAGCCAATCAGGCGCTAGTTGTATGACCAGACTGGGCCATTGGTCCCGCCCACTTTTGCAGGGCTTGTAATATTTCAGCTGGCAGATTGACAGAATGAGGACACGGCTAGGGCATTAACCTGCTCGGGAGGGTTTGTGGCCAAGGTTAGGGGCGTACCATTTTACTGTCAAATAGGGGTGTTCATTATGATCTTCATGTTTACTACCAACATTTCTCACCTCTTACAGTATTGTAGTAACTTCAAACTTATCAAAATCCTTTATGTTTTCCTCATTGAACCTCATAGTTGGGACGGTTTGCTGTTTTGACAAGGAAATCTTGCAACGTAGTAGAAAGATGAAGAATCTAAGCCTTAGACATTGTACAAAATATCGCTGAAAATTCTGAAGTATTGTTTTATCATTCCCTCAGCATTGGTGTGTAAGCTTGTCTTATTGATCGCTTGGTTAGACCATGTCACCTCTCAAAGCTGCTGGCTAACACAGGTCCTTATCGGGACATCCTAGCCTCCCCAACCTGCCCACCCCCATGTGATGAAAAGTGGTCGGTTCCGACCTATATTCAGTACCTTGGCTGAGCCTGACACATGATCAGGGTGGGGGGTTTTCAATGCTATTACTGTTCGTCTGGGGAGGTGGAACACTAGGCACGGCAAGGCGCTGAGGCGAGTGACCTGGATCCGGTAAAGGCGGCGCGCGTACCGACTCAGTAGCTGGTCTACCATGGACGCCATGAAGGAGAATCTCTCCTACTATTGCGAGGAAAGGAATACACGAAACGGTGCGTACAAATCCAGAGCGTTTTGACGGCTTTTTTCTCCCCTACAAATTTTGGTGTCTGTTTGGGTGAGTGAACATTTAGGTTGGACGAGCCAGCCCTTTACGGGGTTTTTCCATCCCTTCTCAAGTCTCAATTCCAATGGCTGGAAGGTCTGTAGGTTTCTTTCTTTTAGTAGTGATTTTGAACCAATCTGGTAGCAGCTTGTAGGTATCCTGAATGTATGAGAGCAGTTTCAGCCAGTCTGTTCTTGTCATTTGACCCACAGTTGACACTACAGCCTGACAACATTGATGTATATGTTAATGCGCTTGTCGGCTGGCTGGAGGATTGTGAAGGGCTCATATTTTTTTCTGTCATGGTTGCTTCGCTGTGGCCCCGTCAACCGCAGGGCGGGGATTCTGGGCCCTTTGTTCTTGTTTGTTTGCGTGGCGTGGCTACTTTTTCAGCTTGTTGTGTTGGCGTGGGGGTTTGTTCAGGAATAGACAGGCGGCTGACCTGGTCTGAGGTCAATGACCCGCCCCTGTCTGGCAGGGGGAGTGTCGATTGGTTCCCAGGGAAGGGCTGTGATTGGCTGTGTCACCCAGCTGTGACCTTATCAGAACAGGTTTTTCTCCTCTAAAGGTCAGGAAAACATGGCTGCGTTGTCACGTTTACAAAACACACACCCTGGTAAACAACTGCTGCATTTATGAACTGAACTGGCAAAAAAAAATGCATTAAAAACCATGAGTCTATTTTGAACTGCACTGGGCCCCAAGTCTCATCTGAAATAGACTGGCTTTTTTCCAAGTTATTGTCCTGTGGAACCTTCTAGATGATATGTCTGGCACCACAGATACAACTGATGTAGTTGTTCTTATCAAAAAGACTGTAAATCAGAGTGTACTAGAAAAATCACCAAATGATTAGTTTGGCATTGTTGTTTTCAATGCTTGTATTTAATGTCCTTGGTGTTATGTAATAACTAAATAAGTATCGATCGCTATGTTTGCGGATTTTGCCTACATATAGATTTGGAAGGATAGCATACTGCAGGAAGTTGTTTTCACTGATGTTGTGTAGATGAGATAAGACAGATACTGCAGGGCATAGGTCAGTGTTGCCATGGCAACAGTAGGCAGAAAATAGATACAGGCCAAAGGTGATGTGACAGGACAGGTTAGGGCCAACGTGAGCTGCCAGGCACATGATATCCACCTTCATATGTAGGCAGCAGATGACATTGTTATTCCCATATTAAGCTTGCTGGGAAAATACGTCCTTATGGGGGAGTTTCATGGAAAATGTTTTTGTTGTGAAACACAATGAAGGTCATGGTGAATGTCATACATACGCTGCAAGGTTTTGAATTGAAACTGTAGTCTAGATTGTAAGTAGTATTTTGGAGGTATACATTGGAAATAAGCTAAGAATTGGTACATGTAGATAAAGTCCTAGAGATTCAACTGCAAGTTTTAAGGTGCAGCAGTTGTCCTATATACAATGTATGTGGACAACATGAAGTGGCCACAACAACAGCTCGGGTCAGAAAGGTTATAATAGTAACCGGTTGTTCTGGCAAGTTGGATTCTTGGAAAACACCTGAACAATGGCCAATGACAGTTCAAAGGTTAGAACGTACCAGTGTGTTTTGGAAACATAGCGAGTGTGAAGCAAGGACAGAAATTATCCTGTGTAAATAATTGTCTACCACTGTCTTGGAATTAGTTGGAGCAAGCACTACAGCCCTATAGGTTGCCAGTAGGACTTGTAGACCCCCTGTACCCCCCAATTTTAGATATGTTACCCCCTCCCCTGTGCAACACCCCCCTTTCCCCCCACCCCTGAATTTTTGTGTAACGAATGACGCATTTGTTTCTCTGCCTCCCCCTATAGTGACCTCAAGCGGTTACCATAGCTCAATCATGGACGATAACGACATGGACAAAAAAGGTCAGTCTGTAGTAGCGACGCTTCGTAGGAGCGTTTGGCTATCAGGTCTCTCACGCTGATATCTTACTGTACACTTTTATGTACTGTTCACATGTACAATGAGAGGGGTTTGGGAAACATTGTTTGGATGATGTCTTCATTCTGGATGCTGTGAAAAGTCAAGAAAAATGTCCAAAAATGTTCCAAAACGTATTCATTGCAAAACTGACTGGGAGAGAAGTCATGCCAATCTCTTGGTGAGGTCACTTTAAAATTTATGGTAACCTCTCTCAGGTCATCTGCCCCAGTGTGCAACACAAGGATGCCACCTAGTGACAGTATCTGGTACTGCAGCACAAATGTGCCTGCACAATTGGCTTAGTTGCTGACTAAAAGCAATCATACTTTTGAAATGGGTTATTGTATATTTCTGAACACCATTCCAACCATGAGCTTTTCCCCCCTTTCCACAAAATTAGCTTAATAATGTGGACTACAAGTTGTCACAAGAAAGTATCAATTGCGTGCCTTTCTCAAGGGAAAAAAGAACAACTTTTTTTCAGTTATTTCCATGGAGTGAGTCAAATGACAGTCCCCCTTAATTTTTGGGGGTCATTTAGGCCCTGCTTGTTCACAAGCCTTTTTTTAAAACTGTTCTATATTGTTCATACCTTTTGAATTCAGTACTTGTAAGTTTAAATTGGTCTATGTAAATATAAATAGTGTATGCCAGAATTTTTTTTTGCAATCCATGTTATGCCATTGTCAATGTAAATTATCCTCTTGTGGTCTTTGTTCTCAATTTAAAAAGATGCCAATTTGGGTGTGTGTTGTTTGGAGAATGGGTCCTGACTGTCTGCTGTGTTTGTGTATTTCAGGGCCGTACATCCCCAGTTACATGGACCAGAACACTCCGGAGCCATGTGTTGTTTGTGGGGACAAGGCCACGGGCTATCACTACAGATGCATGACATGTGAAGGCTGCAAGGTAAGGCAGAAATGTAGCCTGTGAACCGGCAATAGACATTGGGCCTAGGAAAATAAATGTTCTGTTTCTGGTTACATTCCTGAAAAAATTAGGGTCAGTAGGTAGGGATTGTCTTTTTTCTTTTCGTTTTGTCAGCTTAACTGATCCATCAAATACAGTTTTAAAACAATGTAAAACTGGAATGCATTAAAACCGCCCAAAGAACCAAATCTTCAACCTCCATTATACATTCCAATGCAAGTAGACAAGTGCAATGTAAAACTGACACAAAGTTTGACATAAGCCAATAGAAACACCATGATGCTTCAACTAAGTAGACACTGACTTTCCTTTGTCTCTAACTTCAGGGGTTCTTCAGGAGAACTGTTCAAAAAGACCTGAAGTACAGCTGTAAATATGCCGGGGACTGTGTGGTGGACAAAACCACACGCAACCAATGCCAGGAGTGCCGCTTCAAGAAGTGTGTCAGGGTTGGCATGGCAACTGACCGTAAGTACTTCTTCAAGATATACTTTTACATTTTAAAATGTTTTGTTTGGGGTTTTTCATATATGATTACTCACAGATCTGGAAGTATTATTTTGGGTGGCTGAGCTGTGTGTTTGTCTCTCTATCTGTCCCACATTAGCCTGGGTGCCATTTGCTGTAGCTTCTGCCGGCTCCCTAATGTCACTGGCTACCTAGGGAACTGGTGGAAACTATGGAGGATGGCACTCAGGCTTGTCCTACATGTGATTGCTCTCTTTGCATGGTGGGTGGGAAGTGATTTTGACAGTTGATTGATAGGGTGGTCACCCTGAAGTCGACCCATGCAGCATGTGCCTTCAGAAAGATGCAAAACACTTCTCAGAAGTCTGAAATCCCTTGTCTATCATGCAGTGGTTCTGGATGAACAGAAGCGAGTTGCCAAGAGAAAACTTATCGAGGAGAACCGGGAAAGGCGTCGGTCAGAAGAGATCCGCAAGATCTCGCGCCTGCGGGCGGACTGTGTCTTCACCGAGAGAGATCAGTACATCGTGGACCACGTCACGACGTCCTGGCTACAGACATGTCCCAAGAAAGTCAACAGATATTATCTTGTGAGTTCTTTAATATCTATTTTATCTACTTTCTACCATATTTAACCAGGGTAGCCCAGATCAGGGGTGTGACCACTGCTCTACATTAGGACCCTGGATAGCAAAATGCTTCCTAGTTGATCCAGGATATGAACAAAAATACATCTTAAAAAGAATTGTAGATAGTGTTTAACATGTAGGTTTGCTACATGTAGGTTTAACACAGACTGTTGCCTCCATGTTGACACTACAGAATGGTGCTAACAAACCCGGTGCGTCGGAGACGCCCAGACCGCCGGTGCTGCAGAACGGAGTCGTACGCGAGGCGGACAGCTCGGGAGCGATGGAGGACGACATGGTCGACCAGGACATCTTCTCCCACCTGGCAGAGGTCATCACGCCAGCCATCATCAAGGTCGTGGAGTTTGCCAAGCAGATTCCCGGCTTTACAAAGGTCGGTGGTCTGATATTTACAGCTACAACATGTTAACAACAAAATACATGTAACAACATGAGAAATTGAACTGAAATTACTGTAAATTCAAATATTTTTGAGAGGGTTTAATTTCTTGGTAGAAACGGAAAGGATATTTTGTAGTGTATAGTCAAAACAGTACTGTAGCACATAGACAATTTGTACAGTGTCATGATGCCAGTGAAAATCAGACTTTTCAATAAGCTACTATTTTTGTCATGATTGTATCCCTTTCCTACTAATTTGGTATAGTGCTTTCGTTGGTTCTGAGGCATTCCTGTCTGACCAATGAGATTGTTGCATCTATAACAACTGACCTTCCTTCTGTCTGTGTGTCTGCTGCAGTTGGTGCCTGATGACCAGGTGGCGCTGCTGAAAAACTGCTGCTTCGAGGTGATGTGTCTGCGAGCGGCCAGCAGGTTCGACAAGCAGAGGAGGACCATCACCATGTTTGGGGGGCTGACAGTCACCAAAGAACAGGTCAGTATCCATTTTACTGCACACAAGAGACTGTACATTGTTTAAGTTAACTTCTACCTATAGGTGACAAGGATAAGTAAAGATATGGGAAATGCTAGCAAGACATTACTGTACCACTGCAGGTTTCTCTTGGTGGCCTGGGCAGACTGGCGGAGCCTCTGTTTGAGTTTGCGGAAGGCCTGAGCCAGCTACACCTCGATGACACAGAAGTCGCTCTTCTTGCAGCTCTCCTGGTCGTGGCAGGTCAGTCCAACTAAATACTGAAAAACTTACAGTTAATTTGTATTTGTCTTGTATTTATGTTTGTACAGAAATTTTTGTACATTTGTACCCCCTTTGTCACAGTTCATCACTGTTTTTAACCTACTTTGGCTACATACATGTATGTTTGTTCACAAAACAAAGGATAAGTTTGATTATGGACCTCCTGGCAGGTGTCTGTGGTACTGCAGCAGGTTTCATATGTCTAAAAAGAGTTTTTCTGCCTGTTCCACAGACCGCCCCGGCGTTCAGGACCAGGAGTCCATCGACCGTCTACAGGACATCATCCTGACGGCGTACAAAACTACATCACCCGCCAGCGGCCGCACCAGCCCGTCCTCTGGGGGAAAATCCTCATGAAGGTCACGGACTTGCGGGCGCTGAGCGTGGCTCACGCCGAGCAGGTCAAGCTTGTGAAGATGGAATGCACAAGCGACATCCCGCCCCTCTTCTTGGAAATGTTTGAAAGTTCTTCCCCGTTGTTTATGAAGCAGGAATGAGGCAAGTCTTGTGTAAACCAGCTCGTGTTAGAAGAAAATCGTCACTACGTACAAAAAGCTTCAGGCCCACTGCCTGTTGTCTAGGCAGAGATAAAATACCACCCCTCAAATCAACAAAGGTTGGTACATTCCAGCCTTAGATCCTCCAGGATTCAATCCTGGAATGTACCATCTTTTCTAGGCCACAGGTGGTGACAGGTGGTAACTTGTGCAAGTCTACAGAAAATCGTCTTACCTTTGAGGCAAATTTTACTTTGTGGATCTTTATGGTATTTGCAAATGTTGTTTTATCTAAAAGTAATGGAAAGATTACTGGTAGATGATTTAAAAGCTGACACTATCTTTTGAAATCAGACCCTACAATGTACATCTACATGTCAGCCACAAAGCCTACATGTGGTAGCGCACACTTTATACATGGAAACATTAATGTGTAATTTTACTCAAGGAGATTGAGCCTTGATGAAATCCAGCCTTCAACAGAGGGGCTGGACTAAGCAATGTCAATCATATAGGAAGGTGGGCAGGGCCTCCACTGTTCACCAAGCAGTTGAGGCTGGAAGTCATTGAGACGTACCGGTTACGAGTATCCGCTGAACGCGCACAATATTGCCTATGGGAGAACGGCTATCCAGCTGATGACAAAGAACTACGCCATTTTTGCAAGCTGCCTAGGGGGTGACTAGAGGGCCAGTGCAATTCATATTATATATTATTTTTCCTAAAATGTTTTCTTCTGAAATAAGCATGCTCCTTTCCTGTCTAGACTTTTCCCTGAAACCAATCTTTGAACAGTTTTCTGACTTATCACTGCCAGAAGAATGAGAACAATTCTATAAGCTCCTTCATACTTTGATGTGCATACATGCAGTGCAATGCATTGTGGGTAACTTTGCCAGATTACCCATAATGCACCACACCATGAACTGTACAATAGCAACTCTGTTTACAACATACTAGTATATGGACTGTGTTCTTTGTCATCCGGAGTACTGTATCTCTACAGTGGGCCACAAAACTACTTATCTACCTGTATTTCTACCCTCTCGAACGTGAGATCCCAAAAGTTTGGATGTTCTTGAGGGTATACACAATTGTCCTTCCTATGTGTACAGTATGTATGTAAAATAGACGCTACTATAAAGCTATATGCAGCAGAAGTAGTTCCAGAGGAGGGGCTGTATGTAGAGTGGGAACATTTTGAAGGTGGGACCCAAATTTTTGGCAGCACCTGCTGGGTGGAGCCATTTTACACAGCATTGATGTAGGGCTACGAACAGCAGCTATTCAAAAAGTTGAAGAAAGCCCTATTAAATGGTTTGTCAATGTCAAATTGTTGGCATTGAAAGATATTCTAAATTTGGAAAAACCATTGACATGTTTTCAGAAAAAAGAAAAGAAATGAAGAAAATATTACATGCACCCCTGGTCATACCTGGAACTGTTTCTGTCCAGATATATCCACATAGCCTTGTTAGAAGTGTATGGTTTACATTGTTGTATTATATCATCGCAGGTGAAGCAAAGCTTTTAGTGCAACTCAGTAGCTATACTAGAGGGCTGGCTTATTTTTTACACCTACGTGACCTTGGTAATCTTTCATCCATGCTAAGGATGGGGAACAATGCATCAAGTGACTACACTGATCCTTTAAAAGCTTTTAATTGGTAAAAAATGTGTACACATGTACCTTCCATGCGTGTAAATATTAATTTTCGCTTTCTTTATTATGGTGCTTTGTTCAAATATGCATTCCACTGCAGTCTTGTCACTAAGTTTTTTTTAATCAGTTTCGTAATTTTGGGATTGGACTAAAGGATGATAACATTAGAATGTCAAAAGATGTCCCTCAAATTCTTTGCACTAAAACTGAACTTCATTTCTAAAGGAAAACTGTTTAGATGACCCATACCAGAATTTGTTCTGGTACTTTCCAAGTACAATTGGCCAAGATGCCGGATCTATCGCTGCAACAGCTTTGAATCTTGCTGGATATTTCACCAAGGCATTACCAATATCTATCAAATGGTAATGTGGATTGCTCCCAAATTTTATTTAGAGATATGTATGGTGACTGATCATCCGACCATTAAACATGGTGTCACCTGATATACATACTATTTATTTAACCCTTTTCCTTGTAAGGATTGGGTTAAATCCTGTTGCTGTATTTTATTCTGGTTCTTGCTTAGCACAATTTACTATTTCACGAGAAGGCATAAAATGTCGGGATTGTTTAACAACCATCATCATGCTTTTTTTGCGGTATTCATTCCAATTCAAAAATTGAAATGTCAACTTGGACCAACCAACTGTAAAACAGGGATGGCCCCCAGGTTTATCTATCTATCCTGTGGATGGGTTTTCAACAACCACCTTGCCAACATTCAAGACCAAAGTTGGATCTTTATCAGCAAACGTTTTATAATTAACCTTCTCCCTGCTGATGTATCTTTTTTGCACCAAACTTGTATTGGTTACAGGGTTACGCAGCAGGGAGAAGGTTAAAATATAGGTCGAAACAACAATAAAAAACCTTTGTCACCTCTGGCCCCAATGTACAGTGTTGGACCCAAGTTAGCATGTGATGTGATATCATGTTATGTTAGCATGGTTTATATCTTGCAATGCTTGTTTGTGTCATTTTAAAGGAAACAGCTTTGTTGAGAAAAGAAAAAAATGTTATGTTACACAGAGTGAATATTCATGTGGATACGTAACCCTGTGTTACCCAATCAGATTTTGGGAGGTATTCCAGATTTTTATGATATAGTAGTAGCGAGCATTTAGTTGCTTTTATGCAGTGTGGCACTCCAAGACTGCCCTTATCATTCTTGTTCTACCTAAAAAGATGCTTGCTGCTCCTATAATTAGTACCACCAAGGACATGTTTTGTGTATATTCCCTTAAAAGGGGGCGTAAAAATGTGGGAAAAAAAGAATTCTATCAGAGATATCCTTGTTAATGTTATGAAAGTTTTTGGTCAGTGAGGGCATGGTTGTTGCATGTCGAGTCTCTAAGGCTACATCTTAGCTTAACATCAACAGATTTAACAATGTGCCATTGTCTCAGTCTTTCTTAGAAAGTCTTGCAACCCAATTTTAGAGAAAAAAACAAGCAATACAGTTATTAGTCTCACATGCAATCACATGTGGATCTGATCTGGGTGTCACATTTGCCAAGAAATTTGGATCCAAACTCGACTGCCATGTGTTAGACCAAGTGTGTAGTAGTTTTAACACTTTGGACTTGCATATTTTTAACAACAATCCCATACTTTTCACATTCACTTCCATAGTGTGGTGTGATACTATTGTAGGATATTGTACGGAGGCTACTCACTGGCCAGAACTGTAATTGTTGGTGTTGTTATCATGGTAAATGTAAGGAAATGTGTACAAATGTCATGGATAGATATATGTGTCACACATATAGAGCCCTATATGTCCCTGCGTGGTATTGCGTGTTGCAGACGTTATTGTAGGAGACTAGTGCCTTTGGACTGCAGTATATTAAAGTTGCATTACGGTATAGTGTAAGAGCTTGATTTGATCGCCTTTTGCAAAGAGCTATCTGGAATTTGGGAAAGCACTGTAAGACAGTGATCCCGAAAGGAACAGATTTTTGTAAATATGTTCTTTTTCTTCTTGCATTCTCTCCTTGTGCTTTTGAATATTTTTGTGAAGATATTCTGCTATACCCATCAAATGGCAAAGTGGTGTATTATGTTGTGATTATAGCAGTCATCAGTATGATAATAAAAGTCACAATGAAGCAATTGGCTTAGTCTGTATTTCCTGAAATAGATTACAAGCTTGTGTGGTCTGTGTGTGTGAGTACAGGTGTATGTGAGTGCCTGTGGAGTTAGTACATCTACACTGTAGTTCCTATAACGTTATGTTCTATCAGACCAGAGGGGGTGAAGTCTGCTATCTCTGACTGCCTTGTTTTTCTCAGGAAGGGCTGTTTTCTGTTTCATGTTCAAGGAGGGGCATCTCCCATAAGCATACAGGCCTTTCTGAGCTAACTTTTGCACAAATCTCTGCAACAAGATCCAAATTTTTCCAAATATTTCTTCCATGAAATGAAGTCCTGCACACATACTGTATTGAAAGTCCACCAAAACGTTTATGCGTCCTTTGAAATCAATAATACATGGTAGATATTGATACAAAACGTGATTAAATCATGGTTTTGTTGAGGTGAATAAATGCAGACGACAGAGAGAGAGAAATGACGTCATGGTGTGACGTCATATCAACAACAACATCAGCAGGAAGGCGGGAAACAAGCCGGCCAGCGCCGTTTTGGTAAGTCTCCCGAAATTTCTTCGGCATTGCGTTATTTTTAGTGCTTGTCAATCATGAATAGAGTCGTCATGACGTCCCTGTGAGTATGCTGGACAAATTCTGACACGATCTTTCCGTTGGGAGGCTTTCCTTGTTTTGTAATTCGCGGATTTTGGTACTTGTTTTGATAGCACCATTGATGGGGGGTGGGGGGTGACCCGGCATATACCACCTGTAATACTTCCATAAGTCATTTTTGCCACAAGCGAAATGGAAAACTGTCAAATATGGCCAAATATAGCGTACATTGTTGAGTAATATTAAATAGTAGTATTTGGAAAACGTAACATGCCGGCTATGAAGCTCTGTCTGCAAAATAATGTTTGTCGCTGGATGGCGCATCAGCACCAGTCATTCTTTCCATCGTCACAACAGCGGGATTTCTGGTAACGTAACGTATTTCTTTGAAGTCCTGGCGTCTAGCTATGTCACACAAATATAGATCGCTCAGTGTATATGATTGCTATGATATTGTCTGCAATGTACTAGTAAGTTGTTGCCTGTGTGGAAAGCGTTCAGCACCAAGGACAGTTCGAAGGACCGTTGTGTACAACCAAAAGACTTTTAGATACTGTCAATGTTGACCGGAGTATATACATGTATGTAGAAGTATTAGTAATCAATGCGGAGTTACAAAGGTACACGAGTAAGTCAGGATTACTACAATTATATAGTAATGACTCTATATTTTGCAAAGATGCATGTATTCTGTAACTTATGGTAGGAGCTACACTGCTCTACAGGTAAACATGTCAATATAAACACGCATTTTATCCGTCACTAGTTGACCATTTAATCATAAATCCGTTAGTATTCGGACATTACAATCGATATAGAGAGTTAGATTTTTAAGGTGATCATCAGCGTTGTTACATAAAATACTGCTCAGTGTCCTCAAAGTTTGTCACTACGTGTACGATATATATCCAGACTTTCTTAGTTCCTAGTGCATGTATTATAACTTTGGAAAGTGGCAAAGATTTCTGTTGTACGCTTACCATTGTCCGTAAATGTGCATTGTTACTACAGTTAGTTACCTGTGCAGTACAAGGAGATTGTAACCTCCATCAAAGCAGCATGGTTTCTTTTACAAATATTTCTCTAATTTTGACATATTTTACAACTTGCAGTCTGAAAGAAAGACGCTAGGGATTGCCTTATCTTTCAATCTTTAAGAAAATAATGAGCTGAGTAAACTGTTACCTTTCCGTTTGTCAGATTTTACGCGCAGTCGTATATACATGTATAAACCTATTCAAAACACATCCAGTTCAAAACATTTACATTATATATAAAAAGCGAACGAATTTGTAACACACGTTTGGTATGAGCTCATATGTTAAGCTTGGAAAGATGGACAACTTGAAAGAATTAACAAACTTTTCGACTTAAGACGAAGTTTGGAGTTTCTAGAATGCTCATCGATAGCTTAATAGTGCGAACAGGAATGCCGTGAAATGAGACATATATCACGAATATGATGTTAGTAGGATTTGACGATGTAACAGTTAGAACATGGCGTCGATAGATGTTGATCTATTGTCACTGAGGTTCCCGTCCGCTGTAGCAGTGGCGGGGTCGTTCTGAAAGTTGTTGTCCAAGTTGGAACCTTCCGACTGGGTGCGGCGGAGGTTGTTTGGGACCTTGGGCGCGCGGGTGCTGTGTTTCCGCCGAGGGGGCGGGCTGAGGGCGCCCATGTCCGGAGGGTGGCGGGTGCGATACCTGTCCAGCTTCCGCTCCAGCTCCGTGGGGTCCGTGGGCGCCTTGATCACTCGCACCTTCGGGGCGTGGCTCTGAAATTTGGAGGCACAATTAAAGTCACACAGGGCACATTTAAATCCGCCCTTATGGCGATACATGTATGCATGTATGTATAACACTGTGTTGTAATTCCATGCCCTAAGTAAATAAATAAATTTTAAAATGAAAGTCAACGATTTTAAAATGCCATCAAAGTCTGTCATCAAAAGAAATCTATTCAATGGACGGATCACAGCCCTCCCTCCTCCATGAAAACGTTTAAATGCAACATAAAAACATAAAAAAAGCTCAAATACTTAACGAACACATGCAGCCACTCTCATTTGTCGTTCCGCTAATTGCCCCATATTGTCATTGAGTGAACTCATATTTGTGATAGACAGTTAGGATCGGTCTATTTTCAACTAGCTTTAGGGATAGCGTATATTTCACCTTTTTCTTTCCCTTCTTCTTCTTTTTTGACAGCTCGGCGAGGTCGTTGTCCTTGAGTGACCCCGCTGCTGACCCGGTCTCCGAAGACGTGGTCGAAGACGTGTCGATGGATGACGAGTCGCTCTCCACCGAGACCTCGGTCAGCCGAATGCTTCCCGGGTGGGCTGGCCGAGGTCTCTCCGCCGGGAACTTCACAGCTCTCCCCGGCATGCTCTCCTGTAAGAGGGTGGCTGCGCTGCACCTGGTCACCAGCACAAGGTACTGACACGCGCTGTCTTCCTTTTTCTGGATGAAGTCTTTTAGCGTGGTTTCTGACTTGAATTTACGGCGAATCTTCCTCAGGCCGGCCTGAAACCAGTTCCCCTCTTGGGCCCACCTTGTCTTTGTGTTGTTGACGTTGTTGTTGTCTTCATATTGCTAGAGAAATACACAAAACAAAACAAACTTAATGTAATGAAACTCTAACAATGCTTAATGAGCGTTACTTTGAATTCGCGGTGGACGTGACCATTTACGACAACAGGCTGCAATTTTACCGCATTCTGTTACCTTGCTGTGTTTGCCGGTGTCTGCTATGTGCGGTTCGCTGTTGGACCGAGGCAGGTTGAGGTGGAACGGGGAAGGGTTGTTCCTGGTCCGCCGGATGACTTCCGCGCAGTCCCCGCGGCCGCAGTACCGGGCCCACTCCTCCGCGCACATCCCCCGGCCCCAGTCTCTCTTATCTGTAGACGCTCCTACAGAACAAACAAGCAGGGGTTTTAGACTTCCGGGATGTATTCTGGGCTTTCGCTCACAGACCTCCGGAAAGGGATTTGGGGTTTTGACTTGCGTGAATGCGTGAGAGGCTGTATGATGCAGTTTAATCGGGTATTACACCACTTCCTGAATTTCCGTATACCATATGGCAAGTGAATACTGTACATGCTAAGGAACTGTTCATGGTACTGAATATCACATAAGCACATCCAATAGCTCTGTCCTTGGTGCTGAAGTGTCTGGGATTTACACTGTGTGGAATCCTACATACGGAACCGCCTGTTGTACTGAATACCTACTATCCACAGACAGGTTAACTCTCTTTCTAACTTTCTTTTTTATTGCAACATTTAATGACAAGACTTGGTGACGGCACACTCAAGTTTTCCACTTATTTTATCCCGCCACCAACGCAGAGGACAATACTTTTTTTTTTTCATCTGAGTGAAGTCGTGTAAAGTGCCTTTCCCCAAGGGCACAGAATCGGTGGCATGGCGGGATTCGAACCCGGGACCTCTTGGTTCTGAGCCGAGCACTCAGACGACCCCGTGAAAGCGTCAAATTGTTAACAGCCCACCTAACCTGCTAACACCAGCACTTTGGCGCACTCCAGTCTGCCGTTAATGGCGGCCTTCATCAGGGGCGTCATGCCGGCCAGGTTGGGCTGGTCCACGGCTACATCCGGGAAGTTGAGCAGCAGGAACACCAGCACGTCAAGGTGACCTGAAGAAGAAGAGGTACAATATGTTATTTGGTAGCCTGGAGGTAAGATTTAAGGCTGGAGGTAAGGTTTAAGGCTGCTATGTCGAGTTTTGTTGGCTGCTATGTAGGCCGAGTAGCTCATATAGTCCTACTAGTAACTAGGTTGCTAAAATAAAGAATGTACATGGACACATGTACGTACATGCAGAATGCATTGCTACGCCATATTCTTTTCCACATATTACATTCGTCGTTGGATTTTCAAGCAGGCTGGGACAGAACCAACCGCCGAAAAAGGTCTAAGACTCTTCTCGCCTTCTGACGTTTGCGGTCGTACGACGGTCGTAGGACAATGGTACAACGGTCGTAAGGCAATCTTACGACGGTTGTAGGACAATCGTGCGACGGTTGTAGGACAATCGTGCGACGGTCGTAGGACAATCGTGCGACGGCCGTAAGACGATCGTGCGAGGAATATGACCTCGCACGAGCTAACAATACTACTGTGTTGAAGTGACCTACCCGCTTGAGAGGCGAATATCAGAGGCGTGTTTCCCTCGTTGTCTGCCAGATTCACGTTGACGTTCTGCGCATGCACCAACACTTGCAGGATCGACATGCTGCCTTGTGCGCATGCGTGAGCGAGTCCGGTCTGGAATACATAACTACTGTTACACAAGGCGAGGAAATGCTAAAAGGTCAACATCCTTAAAATTGGCTGTTTATAAACGTCCATGTATTTGACAGAACCACTCTACTTTGTCCACTTTGCTGACGACCCGAATGACCTACCATACTAGCTTACGGAACAGAGGCCTATAACTACATATGTATGAGTGAAATGAGCATCTTCAAGTTTTCAGATTCGTCCAACATCTATCCAATGTCCTTAAAAAAGTAAAATGAATACATGGATAAGAAGGATGTACACCAATGGAACATCCTCTGTGTCTAGTGACAGAAGAATATCTATCTCTTAATGACAACAACTTAAACCCGCTAAATTGTAAGTCTGGTAGAAGACAGGGACTAGGGGTTTGAAGGTTATAGAATTACCGTTGCGGTATCATTGACATGCATTGTAAGCGCGTTATTCCTACTCAGCACAGTATTATCCGCATGTCGTTAGTTGTAATCGCTAATGATTCTCTAGGCTAGGAGCTGATGCGTAAGTAGAGATTTAAATGTGCTTACAAACGTGCATAAATGGCTTATAAACGTGCATAAAGGTATTATAAACATGCATATGAATGGTTTATAAAGATGCGATGGCTTATAAACGTGCATACAACAGGCTAATAAACATAAAAGGGCATATAACAATGTGGCTGTATAAATTGCTTATTAGCTCGGTGAACTGGTATCTTTTCTTTGCTAATTTAAGAATATAATAACACTATTCAATGCAATTTCTTGCAGTATCAAATCCCCTTTACAAGTACAAATCTTTCAGTCCACTTCTTCATGATTCGATATCTAAAGCACGTTTATCCCAACCGTTACCCTGTGGCCTCTATTCAATCGGCAAGCCGTGTAGAAGGAAATTAGCCTGCTCGCGGAGGCCAATCCCATTATGGATAAAGGTAATAGCGCTGATATAAAAACGCCACTTACGTTAAGGTGACACCGTGTCCCGAATCGGGGCTTCCAATATAACGTAATTTAGCATATTGTTGCAACTCGGCTGTGCAAGGATTCTGTGTTTACCGCCGGTGCACGGTCAATTTTATCACGTTGTGTTTTTAATAGTTACGATTTTCAAAACCGACCAATTGCTTGCTGTAAGACTTCATTTGCGTTAATGCTATAGAGAAAGTTATGCCTATGTAGATTATATAAAACCGAAACCAATTTAGTAACATGTGTCCTCTCTGTATTTCTTCTTTCTTTCTGGTTCTGACTCATGTTCTGTTATCGTTATTTGTTATGTGTGTGCTTTTGTATATATTCATATTCAAGTATTTTAGTGTCTAGTCAAATATTCTATTTTATAATTTAGATAATGTGCAGGTGGCGGCGAGAAAGAAAATAAGTTATGTAAATCTCTTACGCCGCCACTTAGTCTTTGTTCTTTTATTTGTATTGATGTCTTCTCTAACTAAAATATCAGTTATATTGCTACGAAAAAATATAACGATGATTATACAAGTCTGAAATATAACGATGATTATAAGTCTGAACACGTGATAAGAATAAGAATTATATAGTTTGGTAATGTTGGCACGACCAGTTCATGCATACATGTAAGTGCATATGAGAAGTCTATAATCCACGTGTACACTAAAAAAATCCCTCTTTAACCCCAAGGACCTCTTCACATTTATCCACATGGACACAGATACCGTTTCCAATTCCAAACCACACTTCACTTTACCGTCTGTAACTACGGGAATGCCGTTTGACATTTTGCTATTTTGTACCTGTCAGTGAAGATATCGTCTGCAACTCCAGAAATACATTTTGACATTTAGAGGGATGAGATTCCCAGGTGTGTAAGACAGGTAATAAGTCGGAGTCTCAAGCGTGGCTAAAACACGCGCCAAAAGGCATGGCTACGTTAGCTGAAGGTATCAAAGCTTTCACGCATAATCCTCCGGGAAGGAGAAATTCCAAGAAAACTGTTCGTATCCCCAACCCTTTCCATTTATTGAAAGTGTTGAAATGTGTGATGCGATTTCACCGCGTTGCATTTTGAATCATTCAAGAGGCTTTTGAAAATAAATGACCGTTAGGGGTGTACTTTTGTGATGGGTAAAGTAGCCGCTGCCGCTGCGTAAAAGCACCGAACAACAAAAGGTGAGAATCCCCATAATAATTCATTGTATCTTAATGGAATCCCAGACAAAACATAGCACCATGAAAACGTAAAGATGCTTTATTGTAGACTTTCCCATGAATAGGATTTTGGTCACGCCAGACAACATATATTATGGTGGTATTTTTCATTTGACTAGGTAGAAATCCACAGTATAAGTTGAAACTGCTTAACACACCATTTACAGAGCTGAAGGTACCTGTCCCTGGTGCTGAATATATCATTTACAGAGCTGAAGGTACCTGTCCTTGGTGCTGAACACACCATTCACATAGCTGACGGTACCTGTCCTTGGTACTAAACACAACATTCACATAGCTGAAGGTACCTGTCACTGGTGCTTAACACATCAATCATGTAGTCGAAGATGTCTGTCCTTGGTGCTGAATATACCATTTACATAAATGAAGTTACCTGTCCCTGGTTCTGAACATGTTGTTCAAACAACTCAATGCAACTGTCTCTTTGTACCTGATCTTCAAAGGTAAAAACTCTAATCTTCTTGGGATGATTATCCTGTTCAAACATACTTGTGATATGAAAATTGCAGGATACAAACGATACAAACGACGCCAGCAGCGAATTCGTGATCAAAGGTAAATTGTTTGGCTGTGTTGACTCCACAGCCTCGAGACTTGTTATAAATATGTATCACGGCGTGGCGATCCTTTGATCGCAGCTGTTTGATCTTTGGATGCCTTTTTCCTCAGGATTATTTTAGGACTTGTAATTTCAATAAACCCCTGTGGCAAAAATCATTGTTCGTTCATACAATAATTTCAAATGCCGAGATTTCAAGTATATGGTTGCAAAATTCCCTGAACTTTGAAAAACATTTACGAGGTAATTAGACCTACCTTTCCGGTCTTGTCGATTTGATTGACATCCTCCTCAGACGGACCTTGTTGTATGAGCATGCGCAGTCCCTTTGGGTTACACCGTACACACGCCTCTAGAAACGACCTCGGCGGGCGGAATTTCGAGCTGAAAGCCGTTCTGTAAGTTTCTGTCTTTGAAGACCACTGCAGTTTGTCTCGCCTTTTATCTACCTTGTTTACGTCCAAAACTGGTACTTTTTCAGCCTCTTTCACTTGCCCCGTTCCTATGCCACTCGCAGAGTCCTCTTGTTGTTGATCTACAAGTTGAAGGTCAATGTCGTCAGGGTAGACCCCTTCTTCCATCCCAGACATAGTCACGCCGGCTTCAAACGTGATTAGTTGTCAGGTAACCGAAGAAAATTGGATTGCCCGAGCGATATGGTAGCTCAGCTACTGCTGAGTGTTATATAGCGTACAGTCAACACGCGCCACGTATCCGTACAACATATTTCACGCAGCAGGCACTGGCTCTCTATGTGTCACCGGTGTCTGGAACACAGCGGGACAGTCCTTTGCCTCCACCTAGTTCAGAAACAGAGAGGAGAATGAGAAACCACAGGAAAACGATCGCCTCCGCTTTCTCCGAATGCGTGGTCGTATGTACAACACACACGCGCGATGAAAATCGTCGCAATAATGCGGGAGCCGCACGCCTTCCCGCCTGGCTGGCGGTGACGTCCGTTACCAGGCAAATCAACCTCAAATAGGGCGGGCTGTGACGTAAGTCAAAGCAGCCGAGCGGCGGCTCATACCCCGCTAAACACAGTCTACATCCTGGATTGAAGTGCTTTGGAACGGTTTTAATTCAACGGAAACTGAAAAAAAATATTTGGTATGCGGTTTCCTGTATCGATACCTCTGAAAAGTATCATCGTATCTTGTAAAAGGCAATATTATAAACTGTCAGTTTCAGATTCTCTATAAACCGTATGCTGCTTCAAAAAGGTTAATTGCTGTGCGTACTATGCACCACGTGCACTGTATCATTGCGGTTTATGTGGTTTCGGTCCCCTGCTATGGTAATTAGCGAAGCAATTGATCATTTTAACACTCAAAGTGTTGAAGAATTGAATAAAGAGAAGTTGGCTACTTAATGTAAATAAGAGAAACTGCACGTGAAAAAGGGATCAGGTATTATGCCGTGATCATAGCGAAAAAAACATTTCAGTCTATAGCAACGCAAAATCAAAGAGGATCGGCTGAAAGAAGATATAAAAGACTTTGGGGGCAACAACAGACGTGTCGCAACGATGACCTTTTGACCATCTTAGTAACGAAACAACGTTACATATGGTAGTTAAAACACCACAATCCACTTTAATGCCATAGATTTAGTGTATTTTGAACTATCATAGATTTGTGCTGGTTTATTGCTGACCTAAATGTCGTTAGATGATGATGATGATTATCTTCAATGTCAATGGGTTTTGACCTTGCTACAGTCCACGTGTATGAAAGAAGCCATTATTTCCGCTCCTATCCAACTATTCTCACTATCGCGGAAGTCACTAAAGAGTGCTTCACTCTCTTGAAATCCACTCAGTGCGCAGCAGACCAACGTAGGTCTGACGTGGGATGGTCACACAAGTGGAAGTAGGTAGCAACAGGAAATGGACGGCGCTGAAAAGGCGGTATCGACAGACACAATAACAGCTCTTTTTCTAGCACCACGGAGAGGATGGGGGTTCGATTGGAGTGCTTGTCGTGAACAAGAGCACTTTGGTTTGAAACAAAGTTTAATTCTGGCAGGAAATCTCCCACGCATTTCCGCTTTGGTGACGTGGCCGTTGGAATCTGCCCGGAGCTCCCAGGAAGTGAAGCTTTCTCACGGTCTGGCGTTTTCAGAACGTTTTCTGCCTGGAGCTTCCAGAAAGTTTTTACATGGAGCTTCCAGGGAGGTTTCTACATGGAGCTTTCAGGAGGTTTTCTACATAGAGCTTCCATTAAGTTTTCTGTCTGGAACTTCCAGGAAGTTTTCCACATGGAGCTTCTAGGAGGTTTTCTGTCTGGCGTTTCCAAAAAGTTTTCTGCCTGGAGCTTCCAGGAAGTTTTCTATCTGGAGCTTCCAGCTGCAGGAAGCCTTGATTGTATCATAAAGCAATCACAAAGAAGGTTGAGTAGACCGTTTTTCATTTCCTGCATTGTATCACACAATACTAGCACCCGTATTTCAATTGTGTAGGATCATTTCACGGGCGTATCTGTTTTTCCTATGGCGTCAAATTCCCACTTACTTTGGGCCCAGGGAAAGCGTTACAAGCTGTCCCGAATTGAATACTTTGTGAACGGCGTGTGGACTTTGCGATAACGGCTGCTCCACGCGTACGTGACCGCCGGCACTTACACAGAAGGAACGCCATGAAATACCAATGATTGATTCACTTGTCCATAAACCTGTGAGGAGGAAAATGGGGATCCCTAATCAAAGTCAATTACTGCCTGTGATGCATGAAGCTTCAGACTTCCTGGCGACGTGCATTCCAGGAGATTACGATTAGTCTGCAGCGGTTTTATTATCTTAAGTAAAATTCCCCGTGAGGGGACTACAATTCATTTTTGTTAAGTCGTATCCTGTTTTTGAATTTGATTTTGATGTCCCAAATGAAGATGTATATCGTCATGTTTTTCTACGAACATGTGCAATCTTGGAAATGGGTGTTCAAGCTGCAGTGATTGTAACAACATGCGTATATGTATGAACCATGGCAAAATCAAGTGTATTTGTTATGATGTATAAGTTGCAATATCCTAACAAAGTTAGAAGCTGGGAAGGGAGGTTTTGAGAGTTACAGTTGGAAATTTCACGAGTGTCTTGGACAGTCAAGATGTCACCTTCTAAAACGATCAACTCATCAAAGAGACGTCAGGCAACGTTAACAAGAAATCGGACATTTCAGACTTCTAGGAAGTATTTTGGGTTGTTGATTCACCCTCCCACGTGCTGCGGACCTACTTTCACGTTCACCCCATTTCCTGTGTCGGACCTTTCTACTGCCTGCATTTCTCCTGTCAATGTTCCCCTCCCACGTGCTGTCAACCTACTCTGTCTGGATAAACATACACACACAGCATAACATACACTTACAGCTCAGACTTCCAAAACAATACTGCCGTACCAGGAAGTAAATATAATGGCAAGGGTCGGATGAACAATGTTCACCAATAAAAGCGTTAAAAGCGGTTCAAACGGTGGCAATTGAACCACCCGTCTCGGACCAAGACCCCAGCATTCAGAAGAGCAGTCCACAGTACGCATGTTGAATCACAAGTGAGTCCATGGCTACCCTGTCTCGTGCCCTTAACTTACACACGTTATTTACCGGTCTCAAGTGACATGTTGATCACGTTTCAAGGAGGCTCGTGCAATAAAATTAAGGCCTGACGTTAACACGTACTGACGCTTGACGTAAAATTTTGATATCGTGCCTGTAGGATCACGTCACCTTTTTTTTATTTCAACACACTTGACGCACTCAAGCGAAACAGCTCATATTTATATCACCACTTTATTTAAAATAATAAAAACACAGGACAAAACATCAAATAGGTAAGGTCCAATGTACAGGAACAGGATTAAACAATTAAGGCAATGATATCTGAATACAGTATAAATCAGGGAAGATATATCTTAGTTTCGTACAAGTATAACTGTGTAATAGTGAGAACTGAGTCATATGACAGTAGAGGTGATCCTTTGAGAAACAAATATACAATAACACTATCGGATAAATTGTTGATATCTGAAAATGGGATAATCCCTTTTGGAACCTGACCTTTTCTACATGGTATGCTTTGATAGATGATTTGATAGTCAAATCAGTTGCATCATAAATGTTGTATTAGTGGTCCATTCCGTTTGGCTAAACCACAGTGGCAATTCAGAACAGAGTACCTTTTAGTTCTTCACTTTCATAGCAAGCAAATTAGGTATTCGTACAGCACTTGTATAGCATCGATTGAATATAGTATATGCATCAATCTATAACCCACTTGACGTATAATCATCCCCCACGATAATAATATGAAAGGTTTGGTTTTCGAATCCAAGCGACAGTCAAATTTCAAATGGGTACATAAAGACAGTTCTTCATAGAGATGGAACTTGAAATGCATTTGTAAAGACTTAACCGTTATAAGATGTACGATATCACCTACCAGTGGTATAATGTATGGTCTGGTAGCGGAAATCGGACTCCAGCCTCAAAGACGCAAATGACAGCGCCTGCCTGGCAAACACCTTATACAAGTTCGCCTTATATAGACCGACAGTTCGCTTACATGTGGCTCGTGAGGTCAAGTAGTATGCATGAAGTGTTAAGCACGTAGTCAGTGCGCACCGCGCATACGTAAGAGCTTGGATGGTGATTTGCTTTCATCAATCAATAACCGGCTGTCAATAGCCACCAGACAACTATAACCACTGACCGACATGGTAATGGTAGCTTAGCTCCAAGGTGTTATGGGGCATGTCGAGGTGTTGTGGTATTGTGATTACCTCCGTAAAAACGGAGGTTCTGTTTTGGGTGTGTTTCGTTTTATATTCGTGGAATCATAATTATGTACGCGAAAATTACCACATGATATGCTTACGTTCGAGATCCGTTTCATTTTATGTGTGCAGTTTGTAAACTTAATGTTTTGTACTACGCCCCCCCCCCCAACACACAATGTTACCCAGACAAGTCTGTGCCATGTAGATAATGTACTAGCTGGACCATGTGCTCATTAGGTATTCTTGACGTCACATCTAACTCCACTTTTCAATTAGTTTCATTTCAAGATTTAATTAAGTTATATAACAAGTGAGGACTGTATCCACATCAAGATCCAGAAGCCAAGTTTGTCCACGGCACGCGCTTTGAATCACTGATGAGTTCCTTACATCTCAAGCACTCACTCTATATCATCCTCCGGCGACGAGCTCATTTCCTTCCAATCGTCTCAAAGTGAACGTTCTCATAGATCAACAGCAGGTCCTGACGTAAACCTACTGACCTTATCGCCAAGTTTCAATTTCGCACAGGAGAAGCTAGACAGTAGTTGACATCTTACACTTACACTTCAATTCCTTGAGTAAGTGTCGACATCCTGGCATCGGAAATAAGGAATGACTAAAGGGTGTGTGCCAAAATTCTTCTTATGAGAATCACGTATGGCTTTTGATTCTTTTTCAACAAGTACCTTGTTGCAAATCTATGCAAATTTCCATGACATCATGATGACAAAATCATAAATTACAGCACCACGCCAATTTTTACAATTTCTAACGATCCTATATCCACTGCTGATATCTTTATACAAGATTCAAAAGTGTGATCTTGATCGATAAATATCTTTGTTTAAAACCTTCTGAAAGTGA